GGGGGGGGGGGGGGATTACAGCGCCAAGGACTGACTCACAGGACACAACTTCACACCCCTGAATGTGGGCACGATTGCCATCGGAAACATTCTGGAAAGTCAGGGAAATTACAGGTCTAATTGTCTGGACGGATTGTCGCACTCACAAAACAACTTCACACCCCTGAATGTGGGCATCATTGTGGCCAAATACATTCCGGAAAAGTCCGGGAAATTACAGCTCTAATTGTCTGGACGGAATGTCGCACTCACAAAACAACTTTACACCCCTGAATGTGGGCGTCATTGTGGCCAAATACATTCCGGAAAAGTCAGGGAAATTACAGCTCTAATTGTCTGGATGGAATGTCGCACTCACAGAACAACTTTACACCCCTGAATGTGGGCGTCATTGTGACCAAATACATTCCAGAAATTCAGGGAAATTACAGCTCGAATTGTCTGGATGGAATGTCGCATGAAGGGGGGCTTACAGCACGAAGGACTGACTCAACAGGACGACTTTACGCCCCTGAATGTGGGTGTCATTGCGGTCAGATACATTCTTGGAAGTCGGGGAGATTACAGCTCTAATTGTCTGGATGAAGGGCGATTACAGGGCGAAGGCCCTGAATGTGGGCGTCATTGTGGTCAGATACATTCTTGGAAGTCGGGGAGATTACAGCTCTAATTGTCTGGATGAAGGGAGATTACAGGGCGAAGGACTGACTAACAAACAGGACATCTTTACGCCCCTGAATGTAGGCGTCATTGTGGTCAGATTCATTCTCCAAAGGACCGAGACCGCGCCGCTGTCGCTCTAATGGCGCAACTTCTCACTACAATCATCTGCTTCTGGCTACCGTCTTCACCCGAATAGAACGCCCGGTCATTATAGCTATATTTGGGGCAACTTCCAGTCCAGATACAGCGATAATTACCGGGCGTTCTATTCGGGTGAAAACGGTAGGCTACCAGAATGGCCCGGGACCACTTACCCAGCCGGGACCAAAAAATATTATTATTAATTTATTATTTTATTTTATTTTATTTTTGTAAAGAATTTCGATGCGACCCTGAGGCAAAAGTTATTCAGTTTATTTTTCTGCATAACATAGTTTTCTTGGGATTTTTTTTCTTCTTCTTCTTCTTTTTTGCTGGGACCTTCCCTTGTCCTTGGACGGCCGGGCCGCCAGGGAAAAGAAGGTGACCCGGGCGGCCTAGCCGTTGATGGCCGCAATTTCGTCATTCTCAGTTGTGGCCCTGAATGTTGCCGTGATCGTGGTCAGATTCATTCTCCAAGGCCGTCGCCCTTTTGACGTTCCTGGCCGCAATTTCGACGTTTTCTGAACCGAAATCGTCAGGGCTTAACAGGTTCCCGCAAGTAGGACCTGACGATGATTTCGGTTAAAAGAACGCCGAAATTGCGGCCAGGAATATCGAAGTTAAATAACCAAAGGGGTAAATGAAAATTAAAATGAAAATTAAAATTAAAATTAAAATGAAAATGAAAATGAAAATTAAAAATTAAAAACACGAAAAGAAAGGTCGCAGTTATTCTATGATCATCGTCATGAATGAAGATTAAATAAATTAAAAAAAAAATACAAAACAAACGCAGAAATTTATGATAATCACCGCCAGGAATATCGAAGTTACATAACCGAAGGGGTAAATTAAAATTACAATTACAATTACAATTAAAATTAAAATTAAAATTAAAAATTAACAACACGAAAAGAAAGGTCGCAGTTATTCTATGATCATCGTCATAAATGAAGATTAAAATATAATTAAAAATAAAAACGCAAAAAAAACGCAGTAATCTATGATAATCACCGTGAAGAAGAATCCAAGCCCGTGCGACGTTGTTGTCACACAGAGACCGCAAGGACCCTGTGTTACCAACCGGGCCGCCCTCCCTGGGAAAGAAAAGAAAGAAAAAAAAACGGAAAAAAAAAACATGTGCAGAAAACCAAACTAAACAAGTTTTTTTTTTAATCCCCGCAAAACTCAGAATATTTTGTCAGAGGTGCATTCCGCTCTACCCACATCTTTTAGGGGCATTTTGGCATACATCTCAACTCATGGGGGTATATTGCAAATTATCCCTTCCTTTTTTTCTTTTCTGTTTTTAGAAGTTCCCAAATCTAAAACGATAACGCACAGAAGTCTCAAGTTGATCTAAAAATTGAAACAAAATTTAGAAAAAAATAAAAAAGGGAAAAAAAGAAAGCAACAACTGATAGCCCTCATTATTGCTTCTCGAATCCAATCTCGGGGGCCAAGTCCCACCAGCAGCGTTGAGCTACCTCAACGCCTGAATCTGGACGTGTTTGTGGAGAAGTGCAGTTCAGGAAACTTTACACCATTTCTGCACATCTCCGCAAAAGCGTCCAGATTCAGGCGTTGAGGTAGCTCAACGCTGCTAGTGGGACTTGCCCTCGAGCGGGTCCACCTAGTGGGACTTGACCCCGAGTCCAACAGCGTTCGGACAGGTGGCCACTGTGTTGAGTACACGGCCCGTTCACGGCGTGTGGCAAGCAGCCACGTGGCAAACACGTGTGCTGTGCTAAACATTAAGGGGAAAAAAAAAAAAAAAACGACGTGTGCTAGCTGGACAATCCCTTGCTTCTCGAATCCAATCTCCACTATTACGTTAATTAGTATACTCATTCAACTTACAGCTGCTTGATGTCAGCGATACTCTCTCTCTCTCTCTCTCTCTCTCTCTCTCTCTCTCTCTCTCTCTCTCTCTCTCTCTCTCTCTCTCTCTCTCTCTCTCTGTGTGTGTGTGTGTGTGTGTGTGAGTGTGTGT